AATCTCTCAATGCCCGCGAGAGAGCGAAGACGATTGCCACGAAGGTTGAGGGCGGTGATGGCGGGAAGAGGATTGCGGGACAGCGAGTGGAGAGATTCTATCATGCAATGCGAAAGGTTCAAAGCGCGTAAAGCAACAAGGGTCGATAAACTATCGGGGACTTCAGTAAACAGGTTGGCCGAAATGTCGAGCGAATGAAGTGTGTTAGCTACAGGCGTAAGGCCGGCAGCAGAGATGCTAGTCAAGGAATTATCGGGAAGCCCAAGATGACGCAGGAACCTCCATTTAGAAGCGGGGAGTACCCCAGCCAGTAGATTGGAGGAGCTTCCGTTGCGGTGTCCCGAGGTGTCGCTGGAGTTTGAGCTGCCGGAGCCGGTGCGTCGAATGCGTGAGGCAGTCCCCCGATTATGGCGGTAGGACGAGTGTTTGGAGCTCGTTGGGCGCGAAGGAGAGATACTTCCAGTTCGATGGCGGCTTTTCGAACCTTCCGACGCCATCCGAACCATCGAGGCTGCTTGAGGACTTGTACTCGTTCCGAAAGCCGTATCGGCGACCGGTGATCCTGGCGCCGAAAGGGACCCCGGTGTGTGAGATTTGTTGTTGACAGGTCGAGGGTGCACAGATTGGCTCCAGCCCATCATCGGCCCATTGTTATGGTTTCTGGTTGATCGGCGGCGTCGTTTGTCGATGTCATCCAGTACGATCCCAGTGAGTAACTCGGCAGGATCATCGATGTTTGCCCGCTTGATCGTCAATGTCCGCAGTTGCTCTGACAGTCTGTCCCAACCGAAAAAGGATCGGAAGTCTATATCGATAATCTCTAAAGCGCTCAAGTTCTTGAAGGAGTGGAGGGGCACTGCAGTGTCAAATGGGAACTCTTCATACCCGCGAATCAAACGAGCACGACGATCAGGGGCTAGCCGTAGGCAAGGAATCTTGGTAAAAGCAGAGTATAGGTACTTGGTATCCGCCTCTAGAGCCGCCTTGGCCTTTTCTGACCTGGAGACGGGGTCTTTGGATACCAGGCCAAATGAGGACCAAAGCGAACTCATACCAGACATAACACTACGGACACTGGATACGGAGTGGATCGAATCTCGATCCCCCCGGGATCGCTGGGGCTTATTCAAGAATGAGACGTAAGACTGCGAGATGTCTGTATGGATGTTTTCCAGTCTAACATTCAAGGGTCCCACAGCAATGGAAAGTTCTTCGAAGCAGGAGAGGAGATAGAAGAGATGATGAGGGGTGAGGGTGAGTTTGGCAGGCTTGACGCTCTGCGAGGCGAACTTTAAAGCACCGAACGAAAGCGCAGCTGCCAGGGTGGATGAAGCCGAGCTCGCGGCCGAGCCGGCTTGAGTGTGTGTGGTTTGCACATTTTTGGCAGGTTGGCGTTTCAGCTGCAGAGCGTTCGCCAATGCCTTCTCATGCGTTCGTACGAAACTTGCGAGGTTCTAACGGCGGAAGCACATGTTAGAGCACAATGGCATTGAGGTGCATAGCACAACAAACCAAATCGGGGCGTGGCAACCATGTGGGAGGGGGGGAACACCAACCTTGATGAAAAGCTGGCCATCTTCACTGTTCAGCTTCTCCATAACGGGAAATACTTTTGCCCAACAAGACAGGGAATATCTAGCTAGGCGGACTCTGAAAAGGAACGCTCAAGTACTCGTAGTATGGACAGCAAGAGTCGACATCTTGCTAGCCAAGGCACTCGGGAAAAAAAAAGCTGTGAAGTGCTGCAAGTCAGCAGCAACTCTTGAAAGTTGGCAAGACCTAATGAAAGAACACAGAACAAGGATATTGGAAAGTACCTTGATGGGATATATATGAGGTACAACGGTAAACAATCAACAAACGTGAACACAACAAGCCGCCCACCACAACAATGTAAGATGGAAGAAGATTGAGGAAAAGTTTGGAGAAGGAAAGGACACGCGATAATAAAGGGGGGTATCCTTGAAGTCAGTTGAGAGAAGCTTGTCACCGGGACAAAGCTGAGGAGGGGACAGGAACAAGATGAGGTAGAAGGTATCACCAAAAAAGGAGAAGATGGATGGATGATGGGATGGGGATAGCGATAGGAAAAAAGAGGACCGGGGGGAGCTAATATGCAAGCACCACGGACCTACTGATTTAGCCTAGTGGGTGGTATGTGACGGATGGGGGTGGGAGAGAGGGGGGGGGGGCGGCCAAAGTGGAGTATGGATGTGCACCGGAGCAATCAGCTGAGGAGGAGGGGTTTTTAGGGGGGAAGAAAAAGTGGTAAGCCGTGAATGAAAGGGTAAATTACTTTATCGTGACAGATAGACACTAAGGTGTATCTTTTTCTCCCCTCCAGAAAAGGGATTTGGAGACGGGCAAGGGAGGACAAGAGGGTGGGGGAGGATAAGACAAGAAGGATAAACGAGGATCAATCACGAGAAGATAACCAGAGATCAGGAGGGTGAGTATCTCTTGTCTGGTTTTTGATCACAAAGAAAGATCAATCGTCTCAATAAAATAGGGGGAGGGGACGAGAAGAAAACCAAAAGGGAGGATGAGAGATGGTAGAGGGAGAGGCAGAGGCAACTTTAGATGGGCGGGCTAGAGAGAGAGAGAGAGAGAGATACCTACGTACGTACTAATATAAATTATTATCATATAATATTCTCTGGCTGTTATCATCTTCTGCCTTCCCTATGGTCAGGGAGCCGCTGCATCGGGCGTGGTCGAGGTACGTAGTACATGCATATAGTACGTACCGTACGGTATGACTCCAGTGGATACCGGATCACTAGTAACACCTAACTTACTCGGTACTAACTTATCACTAAGTTAGGTTACTCTGTTTAGCTGATTTGCTTGTCTTCTTTCAAGGATAAACTACTCCATTAGGAGAAAAAGAATCGGTTGTTTCTTTCTCTTTGATACGCTACTCTCTCCCTCAACCGACTTTTGGACCACCCTTCTGGCACGCATCTTGAAAGACAATGATGACCCAGTGGCGACTTTGGTCTTGGGAGGGCAATTCATTATCTTGATGATTGTTACAGGTTACAGACTTCGAGTGGCTTTTCGCCCTTTCTCATTTTCCTCCTCTCTCTCGCGCGCGCTCTCTCTCTCTCTCTCTCTCTCTCTCTCTACCAGGAGAACAGAGTTCATATCATTCATACATAATGGCTCATGATAGCTATCCAGCCCATAGGAATCAAGGCTACTAGATTGTAGGTGGTGAACACATGTTTGGACTCGAATTTCCATACCTCGAATAGCTGGTAGCCTTCTCCGGAAACTCTATCTAGCGGGGGAGGGACGGCCGAATATTCAAGTTGATCCGAACGTGATAAAAGAGATACCACAGATTGGCGAGAGATTCCCACTGGTGCCTCTGGGCGTACCATCGGATGAGGAAAGTTTCTCCTTCAGTGACTTCATGGCTGAGGCATTGTTGGTTTCAGCATCGACAAACACAATTCCATACTCCAGGGACAGACTATGGAGTACGTCGTAGGAACCAGAAACTATCTCCTTTAACCATTTCGCTATCCATTCTTTGCAACTGGGGCTGGCTTTCTGGGTTAAGGAAGAAAAAAAAAGTGGAGCATCTTCCCGACGGTGTCCATGAGAAGCGGGTTTCCCGATCGCCCGACCCTTGAACTTGACCTTGAACTTGGCTGGTGCAGTACTCCGTACAGAGAAGACTCTTAATATGCAAGCGTAACGATCGTGACTCGCAGCGAATAACGATGAAGAAGGGCAATGGAAGCGCCGACGCACACACCATGTTGATCCTTTTACTCCGTCTCTTGTGAAGCGACTAATGTAAGTCAGTGTACTCCGTAGATGGTCCGATTCCTTTTTTTTTTCTCTCCTTCCACATATAGTCGTTCGCTTCTTCCATTCAAAAATGAGGGCGGAGAGGAAGAAAGGGGGTTGGCTCCAGTATGCTGCAGGTTCGGGGGTATGTAAAACCATACCAGTTCTAAGTTGAGTATAATTATGGAAATGAAAATGCAACTGGCGCACCAGCGGGACGAGCAACTGGACCGTCGGTGTCCAAACATCCCGTGATTGGTAGCGAGCCCCCAACTGTGCAGCTGATAGCGCCCTGGCGGACTTCCGAGTATAACGCTCTCGGGCGAATCAGCCTTTGCCCTCCAGCCACCGTGCATGACGCTTTACTCGACCCAGCGCTAGAGTATCAATCCCTGCTAGGTCACTTGCAAGAGGATCCATGATCACAGGCAGTCTGACACTAAGGAAGTAGTTACTCGTAAGAAGACCCGGCATATGGATGGAGATTGGCAATCTGGGAGAGGGCCAAAATAACATCATGGCTTTCCCAATGCAGTCAATTGAACGGACGCTTGAGAAGTTGAGGCGCTCTAGTGACTGTCAGTGGAACTAGGATCTTACCTCAGGTACGTAGGTAGGTATGTACCAGAAATGACCATACACACTACCTACGTTAGCGGCATCGAGGTTATGATCACTTGGGATTGGCTTCTCGATCATCTGTATGGGTGGGAAGATCGATTTGAACACCTCTCAACAATTGTGTGGAAATCTCTTGCCGGCCGCATATATGGGCTAATTACTGCATCTCGTCTCATGCATTCATGCATCGGTTCTTTAGCTGAAACTCGGAAGGAGGCTTCGCTTATTCCGAGGAGCATAAGGTAACTTAATGGTTGTACGAGATTCTCTCTTAAAATTATGTTTATTTCCACCCTCCCTCCTCCATTTCCGCCCTCTGTGTGTGTGTGTGTGTCAGCAGGAGAATCACGAAATCCCACTCTGTTATCTCGCACTGACGGGTTGACATTCTTCGGAGGCTCAAGTGGAACCCTAGGCTCATCATGAGGGTTTCTCATCTCTAAGCATCAAGTGACTGCAGCCCACCTCGGACGGCTTCGTAAAAATGATCGGGTCACCCGTCATGCCCCCTTTGGTTTCCGAAGTTCACAATCTAATCTAATACATTCCCTGTCAATCATCAACAACCGTAACTTTCCATCCATTGCACGGAGGATCAACAGGTGCGCCGTGCACACAACGGCCTGTTCGACAATCCGATGATGTGCTTGCTTCGCTGTGTGGTTATCTCGATGACCAAACCTTAAAAAAGCCCATCGGCAACTCATTTCATTGCACAATGACTCGGTTGTTATGGATCGCAAGTCGCATTTCCCGCTGTCACACCGCTTTCTTGTTGACGCTATCCCCAAACATCACACCACATTCTTCTTCTTTTTTTTTTTCTTACTTCTGGCTCCAGTGTGTCCACTTTCTCGGTCTCAGTGTCAATAATAACATCATTTGGTCCATAATTCCTACGCCCGTCCCCCTCCCCCCACCATCCAATGGCTGTGTCATCGTCATTATTGGCATTGTCAGTTGCCCTCATTCCATGGCCCACGTTCTCGGCGATCATCCATATGCTCGATCGCAACGAGGGGTATTCTAGTGTCGAATCTTAGATATTCAATGACGTCCATGGAGGGGGAGGGAGCACTGCTTGGATGGTCCGTGACCGCTCCGTCTCTCTCTCCTAAGGCTTCTCTTCCTGCCTCACTCATCCCACGCGTACGTCGGCCATGGAAGGGGATCGAGGCTGGCTGTACGGTACCCATATCGCAAATGCCGGTCGCCCAGTCTTCACGATGATAATGACGATGAAGTGGGCACGGCACCGCCTATCTGGAATCTCTTCCCCAATTGCACGTCCTCGGGAGACTAACAGGCGCATTGGAGGATTCTCTTTTGATGCCTTGCCTTCAAGCCTCTCCAAGGCGTTTGTTTAGAGCCGGTATCCTTCCGGAGGAGTGCGCTTCGTGATTTGCTCGCCCTTACCATCTGGTCCTATGGATAACTACAGTACAAGGGCACGTCTACACCGTTACGAAGGCAGACACAAGGCAACAATCATTCGCCCATCGGTATCCCTGGGAGTCATCGGGATGTTTCGTTATTTGTTTTTGTCTTCGGTCCAACGTCATGACCAAGTTCGTGAGAGTAGCCTGGTGAAACCAGAATAAAAGCGATGTTCCTTCGTCGAATGGAATCGGTAAGAGAAGATCCGGCCCTGTTCCATGTGTTGTGTAGCCTGCTAGGAGTACCGTGGGAGAAACACAAGTTGTACACAAACACACGCACACACACAATTGGCAGAAAGGGTGTTTTATTTTTTTGTTTTGATGTTATGCGAGGAGGTCCGGCCCAGCCCTCTATGCCTTGTTTGCAACAATCCCTGCTTTAAGCCTGTCTCACTACATTTGCGGAGAGGAGAGGGTTTTCGACCTCTTGGCGATGGACAATGGACGATGGTTTGGCAATGGGAAATTCCCGCCCACTCACATACACACTCTCCCTCTCCCGATAGAGGAATGTTGGAAACATGTCCGAAACAGACATACAAAATACTTGCATAGCGGATTGGAATGGGAGCCCCGGAGCCCGCCCCGATGTTGGTCCCATCGTGCCAATCACCATTGAATCAGGACAGGGCGCACATGACCATTATGACATCTTCATGTCTGGGTTTGTCAACAGAAAGAACGCTTCATTCCTTTGAACAATAACAAAAGGCGCTAAAAACCCTGGCGACCAGAGTCCTGGGATGACTGGTAGATGGATACCTGCTAAGTACGTATCTACAGGTTCAGGGCTGTACTTAGTTCTTTGAAGGCAGAAAACAGAGAAGAAAAAAAGCCGGACCCGGTTGTGGGAGACCGAAAGGTGGAGAACATTTGGCCCTTTCCAGTTTGGAGGATCTGACGACTCGAATGGCGGGTTCTCCACTTGGTTGTAGTCAACCGCTCAAATCATCCCGCCATCAATGGTCAGCATTCGCTCGACGAGGCGCAATTCTGGTGCCAATCAGAGTTGACCGTGCATCCCGTTTGCTAGTAGATTTTTTTTTTCTCTTTGCTCCTTCCCCCCATCAGCAACTGACAAACTGCACGGAGCGACAATGCCAAGGAGAAGTCAATGGTCATAGGTTGCAAAACGAGAGACTTTAACGCAGCACATACGTATAGTACACACTCGCGGACCTTGCGAAGAGAAAGAGGAACTGGAAGAAGGGAAATCACCGAGGCTTGATCTGCATGGACTAGGCAGAATGTGGACTGAACCTGGGCGCAACACTGAACCAAGTTGACTCACAGACTCACTCATAGAGAGGATTAAGGCTCACTCTTGACGCATCCCGCCGCTTTAGGAAAGCAGCCTAGGAGCGCAGGGACGGACGGCATCATAATGGCTTTGACTTCTATACTTCCCGTCGTCATCCTGTCGCTGTGAAGGTTTTGACATACTGTACGGTACTCTTCTGTGCACTGGCTGACTCCGTCCGTTATCAGACCAGAAAGAGAGCTCGATAAGCGGCTATCGCGCTGGCGGGAGAAGTACACATCACAAGCGTCGCTGCGACTCTTCCCTGGTTTAAGGAGGGCGGAAATCTTGTTTGAGGGAAACTTCCTGCAAGCTATTCAAGTAGCTTCAGCTGCACAGGGACAAGGGAAACGGAGCGAAGAGAAGCAACCAGAAGGTTGAAAAAGCAAGTTGCTTGGAACAACCGGTGATGGTATGATGCGACTGCAGGCAGATTGGTATCATTCGTTTTTGCCAGCACGCGAAGGTAGCACCCGATAGCCCCCCCCCCCAAAGCAATGATCAATAATAGCCTTTTCATACCGTGGCTGAACCTGTACAGCCCAGGAAGGGAGTTTTAGCCTGCAGTGCAGCACCCATTGATCAGGGATCTCATTCGTTGTTCGGTCATCATCCTGCCACTGATATCGCGCACCAATGACCGGTGCCAGAGGGAAAGGTTCGAACTATCGCCATATCACTAGTTTGCATTTGCTGACCATTCTGACCGGTAGACACCTCCGAGGAGCCATCGATCGCATTCCGAATCATTTGCTATTTTGGGGCAGGAATTTGGCGTAATCTGTTACCCCGCATTTCTTGACCGTGCCGGGATATTGTGATCGATATCATACAGACATACAGTAACGCCATGCGGTTCAGCTCAGACCCTGCTGCACCTTTCCCTGTCGCACTGATATTGAAATGCCGACCGATGGCAACATTGAGATCTGGGCGGCTATTGGAAGGGATTGACGGGACCGTATCCGGGGGGAGGGGGTGGCAGTACCGCTAGGCTGAGCTGAGTGTACAGCCAGTCAACCTATGAATAAAGCACGGGTCGATCGCTGTGCAGCTGAGACCCACGAACCCTTTCTCTTTTCTCAGCTCAACCGAAGTCAACTCAGCTCAGCCGATGCGTGTGCCACACCTCTTCATAGAGTCCTGTACCGTACCTGCTACATGGAGGAGGGTGGGATCGACTTACATCTGATCAGGGGCAACCATCTCAAGGTATTGACCTGTAAGAAGCCGTTGGGACATGTACAGGGTGCAATCACCCGAGTCATGCCTACAGCCTTCCGCGTGTTCCTCAGACATGTGCGTGCGCAATACGGGGGAGAGGGAGGGGGGAAAGGGCCGTACGGGAAACACATTCCTTTCACTGCTCCCCGGATTTCACAATTCCCATGGTTGCACCCCCCGGTCGGATGATCATGGGCCACCCAGGCAGTGATTTACAAGCTTCCCTCGTCTGCACCGTCGATCTATCGGTGACACAGACCCATCGGATTACAAATGACGAGGAAGGGATGTGCAAGTTGAGTTTTTTTGATAACCTTCAAGCCTTCATGGAGGGACAAGCGATGCGACAGCATCAAGGAAGAGAGGGCATAGATGCACAACTCGGTGGAGGGAAATGGATTTGTGACGCTGCAAAAGCAAAGTGATAGACCAGATGTTTGTTTGTCACCTTAGCTGCAGCCCCTATTAGTTTCAGCTTCGCCAAGGATTGAACTTGCGAGGGCACTCAAGTGCATATTGCAGCATCATGGTCAGATAGTACAGGAGTAGGAGGAGGAGGAGGAGGAGTTAGGGATTCGTGTTCTGTACGAAGGAAGCTGTGGCACCTTGGACCTTTATTTCAGTACCATTAGCTACATCTTAGAGCATGTGCATAGTTGATAACCGACCATAAAGCCTTATCGCTGTTGTTGACCTTCCATTCCACTTTATGCAACGGGCTAGACTCGGGACCCATGGTTCGGTGCCGATTCGGGCGGGGGAAAGTGAGTACGGAGTACAGTAAGAACGTAGTGCGTAGTGTACTCAAGCCACATTCCTCCTAGGCTAGGAGGTCTGTGGCGCATTAGTTCCGGAAAAGGGGCGGTGCTGGCATGGATCGGAGGCCACTGACGTCGGCTCCCTAGTAGTGCGTCACTCCCGAGTCCCTGATTACCCCCTCTCGCCCGGGAAATTAACCAATGCCATCTCCTCCGTTCAACCCTCCATCATTTCTCCTCAACATGCATTATCGTCAATCATGAATGGAGCAGAAAAGTCTGCAGCGACCGAGATCTATGATCCCAGCGCCATCCCCGATTACGACCACGACTTCATCAATTCCGATGATCTGCGACAGTTCGAGAACGCCCTGACCGACCAGGGGGCCTCACCATTGGTGGCCCTCAACGACTGGCGTCCGATCTACCAACGAGTCAAGAAGGGCCGCAGCAGCCGTCGCAAAGGGCCGCCGCGACGCACCAAGGATGAAACGAGGGAAGGGGTGCTCTACACATTTCTTAAGTGGCCATTCCTGCTGATTGTCTTTGGCTGGATCACCGCCCTGGCCATCGCGTACGCCTTCACGCGCATCTACATCGTTCTGTACGAGCACTGGATCTCGTGGCGGGGCACGCGGCAACGGCTCCGGAGGCAGCTCCATGCGCAGACCAACTACCGCGACTGGCTGAAGGCAGCCCAAGCGCTCGACAACTACCTCGGCAATCAGCGGTGGAAGGAGATCGACGAATATGCATACTACGACCATCTCACCATCAGTAACCTAGTGAAGCAGTTGCGCAAGGCGAGGAGAGAGGCGGAGCGCGAGATGCACGACAAGGCGGGTGGCGGAGCCGGGGAAACGCCGGCGGCGGAGGAGCTGTGCACGCTGCTGGAAGCGTGCGTCAAGAACAACTTCGCCGGGGTGGAGAATCCCCGCCTCTACAGCGAGGCGTACTCGGGAACGAAGAACCTGGTACAGACGTACATGGACGAGCTGCATGCGTGTATACAGGTGGTGTCGGAGTCCAAGATGATCAGCACCGAAGAGAAGATCCGCCATTTCAAGCATCTGGACACCAATTTTGGACGGACCGCGCTGTGTCTGTCTGGCGGCGCTACCTTCGCCTATTACCACTTTGGGATTGTGCGAGCGCTTCTGGATAACGAGATCCTGCCGGAGATCATCACGGGAACATCGGGAGGGGCGCTGGTGGCTGCTTTGGTTGCTACCCGGACCGACGAGGAACTGAAACAGCTGCTGGTACCTGCGCTGGCGCACCGGATCAAGGCCTGTCACGAGAGTTTCCCGCGATGGTTCATGCGTTGGTGGAGGACAGGGGCTCGGTTTGACACTCTGGAGTGGGCCCGTCAGTGTAGCTGGTTCTGTAGGGGCTCGATGACTTTCCGGGAGGCCTATGAACGGACGGGCCGTATACTGAACGTTTCGTGCGTTCCATCGGACCCTCACTCGCCAACTATCTTGGCCAATTATCTCACCTCGCCGGACTGTGTTATCTGGAGCGCTGTTCTGGCGTCCGCGGCCGTCCCCGGCATCCTGAACCCGGTGGTACTAATGACCAAGAAACGCGACGGCACACTTGCGCCTT